GGGGGTGGGGGGTTCTGGGGGGTCCGTGGGGTGGACCCGGTTGGGAACAACCCCCGATCTCCCCCGGGGCCCGAGGGCGGAGCGGACCCGGTTGGGAACACCCCGCTCGTCTCCGCCGCTGCAGCCGCTTCCCCTGCTCCGGCTGCCGCCGCTCGGCCCCGGCCGGGCCCGCGGGCATCGCCGCTCCTGGCGCGGGTGGAGGGGTCGGGCCGGGCCGCGCCCGCTGTTACAGCCCGGTCAGGGGCTGAGACGGGGTTCTTTAGAGGATGGCTTCGAGGGCGACATTAAGGCACAAAACTCCAGATGTTAGGTCTCAAACAGACAATTTGCTTTATTGGTAACAACAAGTAAAAGGGGAAAAGAGGGGGGTGGGGAGGAGAGGGAGAGAGCAGGAAAAGGAAAGACTGCAAAAGGAAAATGCTAAAAGTTACCGGGACCAGTGAGAGAAGCGGGTGTAGTCAGCCCCAGGCAGTCCGGGAAGGGTCGCTGGAGGGAAGCAGGGGGTGAGCAGACTGGATCCGAGACAACCAGGAGACGCAGGCAGGTGGGACACGAGCAGGACAGAGCGAGCAGTGGGGCCCGCGGCCAGCACGGGACCCTGGGCAACACCGCCTGCACTGGACCGGACCCTCGGGCAACGCTGGGCACTGCCTTAAACACCCCCCGGTGGGCTCTCAGCGGCCAGCTTGGCTCCGGACAGAGCTTTGCAGGGTGTCGGTGGGTTGAGCTGCTGGTATCCAGGGTGGCTGGCTCTGCCAAGGCGGGTAAATGTACCAGCTTTGTGCTGGAAACTCTCTGACTCCCGCCCGTCCCTCGGGGCCGCTCTTTCGGTGACACGGGCCGGCAGCTTTTTATTCTATTTATTTTACTATATTGTCTGTACTTTATTCGATCCCCACCCCACCCGACCCCCGGGGCCGCACTTTCAGTGGATGGAGCAGCAGAGGCCCCTCGGGGCCGTTCATCGCTCTCTCACCCCCCCCCGGGGCTGCCCCGGCGCTCCCTCAGCGCAGGTATTTTATTCCATTTATTTTATTCTCTGTATTTCATTCTATTTACAACGGGCAGGTCCTGCCCTGCAGCTCTTTCAGTGACACGGAGGGGCGAAGACCCCCCGGTGGGGTTCTTCCCGGCTGTTTTTTGGAGTCACCCCCCGGGGCCTCAGTGCCGAGCAAGGCTCTTGGTTTGGTTTCATCGGTTTTACAGATTTGTGGGATTCTGGTATTTATTTGTATATTGTATTTATTTTCTTGTTGTTATGTGTTTATTTCTACAGCTTATTTATTCCTTGTTTGTCTATATATTTTATTTATTTATTTATCTATTTATCTATTTATTTAATAGTATTTATCTCTTTATATATTCATTTTTGTCTATTTCTATAATTTATTTGATTGTTTTATATAATTTTGTCAAGTCATTTATTTGCTTGTTTATTTATTTGTTTAAATAATTAATCTATTTTTAAATTTTCAATTGTGTATAATGTTTCAATTATTTGTTTTATAATTCCCAATATTTTTATGAAATTTTATTTAATCATATAATTTTAATAATATTTATTAATAATTCTTATAATAATAATAAATTAATAATTTATTAATATTAATATGAATTTATGCTTATATAACTTTATTCATCTGTTTATATAAGCTCATTTATTTGTTTATATCATTATATTCTATTTGTTTTTATAATTTAATGTACTTGTATCTAATGATTTGTTCTATAATTTTAAATATTTCTTTATGTAATTTTATTTAATTGGTCATATTTTATTTATTAGCATCTATAATTCAATTCATTTTTATATAATTTTATTTTGTTTAATAATTTTTATATGTCTACATAGTTTTATTTAAATGTTTTATTGTAACCATTAGCTTATTTAATTTTATTTAATTGACTTTAGTTATTTGTTTATATAATTTTAATTATTAGGGTATATAATTTGAGTTATTCAATCATATGATTTGATTTATCAGCATAAATAATCTAATGTCTTTGTTTATATAACTTTATTTATATAAGTTGACTTATCTGTTTATACAATTTGATTGAATTGTATATATATAATTTTGTTTCTTTGAATATATAATTTTATTTAGTTCCTTAAATAATTTTATATATTTGTTTAATTTTTACCCTTAGTTTATCTTTCATTTCTTTATTTACTTGTAATTATTTTTTATATAATTTTAATTATTAGCATATTATTTGCAATTATATAACTTGATCTATTGATTAATATAATTTGATTTATTGGTATATATAATCTGATTTCTTTGTTGATATAATTTTAATTATTTGTTTATTTAATTTGTTTCTGTAATTTGATTTATTTCTATAATTGGTTTTATGCATTTATATAATTTTATTTAATTACATATAGAAATTTGTTTCTTTGAATCTATAATTTGATGTATTTCTTAATATCTTTTTTTTTTTTTTGCTTTCAATCCTCACTCTTCCCTCTTCCCGGCCAGGGCCTCTCTGGTTCCTGGGCTGTGGTCCGGGGGGGTCATTAAAGCTGATTCCGGAAGGGATTGCCTGGTTGGCAGGGACAGCCCCAAAGGTCACCTTTCCCTTTTCCCTTTTCCCTTTTCCCTTCTCCCTTTTCCCTTTCCCTTCCCCTTTCCCTTTTCCTTTTCCCAGCTGGAAAAGGCTGGAAAAGCTCCAGAGGAGCTTCCCCCATGGCACAGTTGGTTTTCCAGCAGGGACGGAAATCCGGTAGTTTTGCCGGAAGGAACATTGGGATTTATTCCCAGAATCAGGAAATACTGACCAAAAGGAAGTCCAAGCCCGTATTTACTCCGAGTTTCTCTAAATCCAAGTATTTCCTGGGAGTGAAATGCCGAGTGCTGACCCACAGACTCCATGGCCGGGGATTCTCCAAACCTGGTGTCTCAGTTTGACAAGATTACAACTTAGAAATGAAGAGACTTCAGGTGGAAGTGTGGGAAAGAAAAAGAAACAGCTTTTTATTCCCAAAAGCTGAACAAACAACCAACGGCGCCAACAAAACCTTTCCGAAGAAACCAAACCAAGTCTCGAATGCCCAGGTAAGGGGGAGAAACCCGCGGCAAGCCAGGCAGGGGTGGGGGAAAGGCAGGGCTGTGCCGACAGGTCAAAGCTCTCACAGCCAGCCTGGAAAGGGCCTTTTGTCCCCCAGGCAGTCCCAAAGCAGAACACCTCGTTCCGAGATGGTCGGTCTCTCGCTCATCCCGCGCAAGGTGTCCCGCAGGGAAACAAAACTTTCTGAAAGAGGCGGTCAAAAACCGGGCTCCGCTCTGGGCGGGGCCACCAAAGCCCCAGAGCCCCGAACAAAGGACTCCCCGCCCTCCCTGCGGCCACCGCGGTGTCCCCAGAGCTGCCCTGTCCCCACTGCCGCTGCCCAGCGCCTGCAGCTCCGTCCCCACCCCATCCTGGGGCACACGGATGGAGGGAATGGGGGCTGACACTGGGAAAACATTCCAGCAGCTCTTTGCAAACCTCTGACACCTGGTTCCCAGACATTCCCAAAGAAGGGGCTTCCCGAGACCGTGGCCTCGGGCGAGGGACCGACCTTTGTATTTGTCATAGTCCTGATTTTTAGCAAGAATTTTGTCTTTCCTTTCCCCTTCCCCCTCCTGCGTGTATGTCTTAATGAGCCATCAGATAACAAAGAAGTTGGCCTGAGACCTAAATGGCTAGACATTTATCTCCTGGCAACGAAGGGGGAGGGATTGGAAAGAAGGCCAGGGTGTGTGTATGGAAAGAGGTG